AAGGGGTCGAGTAGGGGCGGGGCCTGGGGCAGAGCGGGGGTCCAGCACCCCCAGGAAAATCCCAAAGTCGGTACCTCTGGTTACTACTATTAGAGAGGCAGTGAATACGACCCTGGGTTGGTGCTCAGGAGACCTGGATTGGCCGTTGACCAGCCATTTGACCTTGGGCAAGTCACTTCACCTTTCTGCTTGTTTCCCCACCTGCTTTCAGTGTCTTCTCTATTTAGATTGTAAGTCAAATTTTGACTAAGGCTCCTATGCCATTTAGGTGGTTTTGAAAATTTAGTCTGTAAACTCTACAAGGAAAGGACTATCTCTCACCATGTTTGTGTAGTGCCTAGCACAATGGGGCCCCAATATTGGTTGTGTCCTCTAACTATTACTATAATACAAATAAACAAATAATACTCATTTGCAATCCTTGAACATAATGACTTGTGAACCATGTACACTTATGAATCCTGTAGTTTAGCGAACTTGATCCCGGTTACAATTTATTATGTATTTATTTGTAGTACATATTATTTAACATTTTATATTGTGATTGTACCCAGAGCCTACCTAGATCAGGGCCTAATTGTTCTGAGTGCTGTACAAACATATCATCAACAACAGTTTCTACACCAAAGAGCTTGTATTTACTATCTTTTTATTAGATTTCACAAAGGCAAGTAATATATTTTGAAAGATAAATATTTATTTGACTTGGAATCATGTTTTACTTTGTTTTATGGATGAAATAATAAAAATCCCGGACTAAATTCTCCCCTGGTGTAAAACTCCATCGATTTCAATAGACTTTAACTCCACAGCTGAATTAATCTGACCTATATTTCATGGCCTGTATTTTACTTGCAAAAATGTGTTGGGAATCTGAGCCCTGCAGTCTCTGGCTTATTCTTTAAGAGTCTTATATTTCACACCTGCATGAAAGGCAGCTAATCATTTCCTGACGGGAAACTGCAGTTTCATTTTCTTTCTTGCATTACCATAATGAAATGTCAGCTCATCAATAGGTTTGCTCTGCAGCAGATGTCTGATAATAATTACTGTTGTCATAGGGTGTTTGGTGTTTACCCAGATTGTCTAGTCAGCCTCTCACAAGAGTTAACCGATTCACATCACAATATAATTGCACAGCAACAGCAAATCTGGGCTAGAATGACCACTGACGTTTCTTAGCACTGTCCTGTGAGCATTTGTCTGGGAATTGGTCCATTATGCATCTAGATTAGCTCTTAAAGAAGAATACTTACTGAAAGAATCTGTTCACTACGCAAACAGAGGCACAATGATACTGGGTAAACACATAGTATCATACAAAGAAATCAATTAGATTGTTGTATGCTATTCAAGTTCTTATATAACACTTTGCTTTAGATGACAGTGACATTTCAGATAACCTTTTCTGAAAGTTCTTGTTTAAATTGAATACTGCTGTCACGATATTGCTGTACAATACATCTGGTTTTCTTTTTATAATTTCCTTCTTCCCCTTTACTCCAAGACATAAAAATTCCTTTTCTTATTGCAACAGTATTGCCTCCAGGATAAACTGCAAACCAAGTAGTGAATTTGTTGTAAGGCTATCTCTTGACCTCGTGATCTGCAGTGATGAGCTTTTCAACTTTATATAATTCAGCTGGATCTGATATTTGGCAGTGCTATAAACCAGTTAAGAGAGTCCATTCTCACTTGCCCAGGAAGCAGTTCATTCATTCAACCTAATCATAATTGCAATCTTTCCTGTTGTAACATTTCAGAATGGAAGCTGGTTTGAAACATGACTTTGCTATGAAAGGGTTCCTGTGACAATAGCTTGTAAGGCCACATTTCTGAACATGAGAGTGGTTGTTATTTTCAAGGTTGGAATATTTTTTCTTTCCTTTTATTCTCTTTTAGAATAAAACACTCTGTGTCTCTTTCAAAGGTTCCTGTTTATGGCACAACTAGAGCATGGTGGTATTCTCCAGAGTTCTGGCATCGGCAATCTGTTTATCACTCGGGTTTAAAACAGCCTCTTTCAAACTGAAAATGTTCACTGATTTTTTTGATGTGTCAGTTCCCCTTGGCACCAGGATGTTATCTTAGCCCCGTCAATCTTCCAGTCTTCTCACGTGGGCATGTTTCTTTCTGTGTGGGGGTCTAATGTTATGTAGATTAGTCAGGTAGAATTGCAATTTTGAGATAAACATCTAAAAAATGTAACACATGGGCTGCATCCCACAAACCTTTACTCACATGAGCAGTCCTGTGGATTCATTTGGAGCTGGTAAATGGAGTAAAGCTTTGCACCATCTGCAAGACTTGACTGTAATTATTTCCTTCTTCAACAGCAAAACTCCCTCTCCCTGGGTATTAAGATCTCTGGGGCTATGCCCACTCTCTTTGGTTAATTGCCTTTATCAGTTTGATTTTCCTCTTAACGTTTGTTCAGTGCTGGCGAAAAGTGCCAGATTGACAGCCCTGGCTGCATCTCATGTGACGCGCATTTGACAGTCCTCCCACAGAACGCTGCATCTTGATTGAGATGCCATGCATCTGGCCAAGCTGCTGAAAGGCTGTGGGCATTTGCCTGCAATTGCACCTTTTGGACACTGGAGGCTGCAGTGGCATCCACTGAGCAGGCAGCCATGTGCCACCAGGAAGTGGCAGGAGTGAGATTGGAGCAGTGGCAGAAGGTGAGGGGCCTGATATGGGCCCTGGGCTCCCTGTTTCTGCAGGCAGCTGCTCCAGCCACTTGGGAGTTTCACCACCCTCACTCATCCCCAGGATCCCCCAGCATGCTTCAGAAGCCCCTATGAACCCCAGCACCCTATACTCCCCAGTGACACAGCAGGCAGGCAGAGTTGTAGAAAGCAGCTTTATTAATCCTAGACTGGCCGATGTTACTTGGTGAGGTTCTATTGCTCATCTAGCAGCAACCCACCCATGGCTTGTATTCCTGAGCCCTGGTCCCTTGCCAATCTCAGTCCCTTTTGAAATGTGACCATTCTCCATTTCCACTCACCATACCACACTGGGGACTAAAATCCTCCTTTTATGCACAGAACAGTAGTCCTCTGACAATCACTGGTCCCAGGGCTGTGCTGGTATAAGTGATGACATGTATACATAAAAATGCTTTGACTGACTAATTTACACCATATAAATTAAGGTTGCTGTCATTTTAAATACAACCACCCATGTTAGCTAGCATTTTGTTGGAGAAGGAAGGGTGCTGTTATATATTGTGGTTTCTTCCGGATATGCTGGGCAGCTTTTGAAGAGCATGTTCCCATCTGTTTACAGTGCACTATCAGAAGATCATTCACCGGGACATCAAGCCTTCCAACCTGCTCTTGGGAGACGATGGGCATGTCAAAATAGCTGATTTTGGAGTCAGTAATCAGTTTGAAGGGAATGATGCCCAGCTTTCCAGTACTGCCGGGACACCAGCCTTCATGGCTCCAGAGGCAATTTCAGATTCTGGCAAAAGCTTCAGTGGAAAGGTAAATCTTGGATCACCACTAATTAGTCTGAGTTTTAGGACCTGGGGAACATGAAAAGAAGGGTGGTATCCAAACCATACTCCTTGGTGTCTCTCTGTTCCACAGGCCAGGTAAAATAAAGAAGAATTTTTCTTCTATTATTGAGTCAAATCCTGAGGTCCTAACTCTGTTTTACTCAAGACAAAACTCCCGTAGATGCCAATGGGAGTTTTGCCTGAATGAGGCTTCAGGTTTTGATCCATTATTATTTGTCTAGGTCAGATTTCTGCCAGTCTTCCTCATGTTAAGTTGTGTCTTCCTCCACAAGTCGTCTGATTGAAATGAATGGGATTGTTCGTACAGTGAGGAACTACTGGATGTGTTTAAGGCTGGCAGAATCTGGCCAATATTGGTCAAAGTGTGCTAGGTGGTTTGCAGACTTTTGTGTGCATGTAGCAATGTATCTATCTAATTACATTGTTCAGTATCTATAAAATTAGGTTCCTAATGAAAAAGAGTTTATTTTTATGTTTGAGAAAATAGCTGTCTGATCTAAAATGTATCTAGCTGTTGGATCTAATTTACTAAGTGCAATTGCTTTCTTTCAGGCACTTGATGTATGGGCCATGGGAATTACTTTGTATTGCTTTGTATATGGGAAGGTAAGATGACTGTAGAACAATTGAATTTTATATAGGAGCTGCGGTTTGGTTATCATTAGTCTGATTCTCCCACAAATAGGTGAAAAATAATAAACAGAGAGCTTGAATCTGCAAGCTCTAATTCTCCCAAATAGTCCTAATGAAGTCAGTGGGTGAATAAGGGTGGCATCCATGCATAAAAATTCACAGGTCTGCCCCATAGCTTACATCAGTGCCCAGATCAACACCGGTCGCAATAATAGTGACCTTCTTTTTTCCCCAAATATTTCCTGGATTTAGAAACAAATCAGGCGGAACATGTGGAGAGAAGCACGAGTTTGATACAAAAGCTGCTCTAAAGTGCTTTAAATGATCCAGATAGTGTGCCGTCCGTCAGCTGATAAACACGGCAGACCGGTGCAGGTTATGGTGACTTGCTGCATGAGCAAAAAAAATTTATGGTTTTGTAGGATCCTCCCAAGGCCATGCAGGGCCCCACAAATCACACTGCACAGTTCCAAGGCTTTTTAGCTGATGTGGCTATAATTGACGGGGGTAAAATGTAAAGGAACAAGTAATTTTGTGACAGTTGTGATATGGTTTAGCTAATTCAGGATATTTTATTAGTTATGATAACTGCGCACTGGGCTATTTCTAAAATAAATAATTTGCACTGAAGATGGTGGAATCTCTCGGGATTTTGTCCCCTGGTGATATCATTTCCCCATGTGTTATGGCATGGAGAAGACTGGAAGAAGTAAGGTAAATAAAACCAATGAACTGTTCTGTTCCAAGAAACCCCCCTACCGTTGGCCTTGCAGTAAATACTGTGCACTCATTTCATAACTCGCCTTGGCTGGGCGGTTCAGGGGACAAGGCCAGAAAACCATCCCTTATCCCACCAGAAGCAGGTGCTGACGCTACTGTCTTTGGACCAGCAGTAAGGAGCACTGCTGAATGCGCTGCCCCACACACTGCCCTTGAGGTATTCTGCAAGCAGAGTGTCTCAAGTAAAGGCCAGTTGTCACAACAGCTCCGCTCCTGCCCACCTGCCCATGTTGCTCAGATAGGAAGAGCCAGAATTTAGGCATATATCAATCAACTGGAAAAAGTTACATTTGAAACAAATGTGCACTGAGCTCATGTATCTGAATTTAGCATAGAAAATTTAAAAAGTGATTGAAGATGACTATTTTAGGCATCATGTAGGTGGTTAGTGCCCAAGATCTGTAAAGCTGTTCTGTGAAGCATTTTTAAATCTGTTTAAGATCCTAGATCGTGAACAGAGTCTCCCAAGTAAATGTCATCCTTAAAAATTAATATATTTGAAAGCTGGGTCCTGCTTCACTTACCTGTGAAGACTTGAAGCTCAAGATTCTGTTTCACCTGCAAAAGTCAATGACATTGCAAGCAGACAATACAGTCAGGGGGAGTCTGTGATCTGACTAGCTGTCATAGAAGGCCCCAGAACTATGAACTGACATCACAGCAGGCAACTAAAGAAGGAAGCAATTTTCCATGTATCATATAAAAATACACCCATATATTCTGTTGAGTGGAATTTGCCTACTTGTGGAGGCTCCATACAAGGTCCTCCTGACCAAAAATCCCCATGGTAGCCCTGCATGGCACTGGCTGACAGAGCAACACCACATGGGGACTATACCCCTGTGTGTGTGCTGTGAATGAGGGTTTCCCACTGGCTTCAGATAAACTGGTGTATAGGAGAGCATTGAGGGGAGAGGGGTAGGAATGGAACCATTGGATCTGTGCTTACACAAATCCAGTAACTGTTGTCTAGAAGTCTAAAGCAGCAGCAGACACATTCCATAGACTGGAATAGAGGCTACATGGTAACCCGTAGCGTTCGTGCAAGTTACATGTGTGCAGGGTGGATTGGATTCCATCCCCTGGCCTTGGGTAATTTTCTTGCTTCATTTTTGTTCTCAGACAGGTGAATCTCCACTATTAATTTTGGAGATGAATTTCTTAATTACCTTTTGTATGGTAAACAATAATACCTAGCACTTATTCAGAGTTTTTCATCAGTAGATCTTAAAGTGCTTTACAAAGAAGGCCAGTATTGTTACCCCCATTTTACAGATGGGTAAACTGAGGCACAGAGAGACAAAGTGACTTGCCCATGGTGACCCAGCAGGTCAGTGGCAGAGTCTGGAATAGAACCCAGATCTCTTGAGTCTCACTCCAGTGCTGCATTTGCTGGGCAACCCTGCTCTTTTAAAATCTCTGCCTTTAACTTTTTAAGTAAGGCATAATTCTGCTTGTGAGAGGTGGGAAGATTTTACTAACATACCCTGCATGTATCTTCTGGGTCAAATTCAGAAGAAACATGTAACAAAAGTATATCTGAATGACAATTGCTAAACACTTGAGATGCCTAACAGCTGGAAAACCATTGCTTTGTTTTGTAGTGCCCTTTTATAGATGAATACATTCTGTCTCTCCATAACAAGATCAAGAACAAGGCGGTGGAGTTCCCAGATGAGTAAGTAAACTTTACTGCACTATTGTAAAATAAAGTGCAGTCTGCAATGTTATTAACTGTGTAACATACATGATAACAGTTGGCTATTGTGCTGACTGTGTGGAGTTTTATGTGTGTTTGTTCTGAGGTTTCCTATCTGTGTATCCTATGGCCCCCATTATTGTAGTATCTTATTGTGTATTTAATATAAATCTGTATTTGTATAAATCTTTCATGTATTTATCTTCACAACACCCTTGTGAGCTAAGGAAGTGCTGTTGTCCCTATTTTATAGATGGGAAACTGAGGCCTGAGACTAGGTGACTTGCCCAAGGTCACACAGGAAGTTTGTGGCAAAGCAGGGACTTGAATCCTGGGTCTCCAAAATCTAGCTCTCTAACCACTGAACTATCTTTCCTTTCCAGCTGAGCTAGCCTCCCTCTGGAGGCTTTGGGGATGTTGTTCAAGTTGTGTTGTCTCTGTTCTTTTTTTCTTTTGCTTGGTCTACACTCTATTGTTTAAAAGTGAGAAATTCCATGGGCCAAATTCTGGCCATAAATGAGCACATGCAGTTTTCACTGAAGTCAGCTGGAGCTGGGTGCAACATATGTGAAGATAGAATTTTGGCCCTAAGTGACTAAACAAGGTTTTCCAATGCTTGACCAAAACAAGATACTTGACTAAGGGCTGGTAGTGCCCGAAGTATCAGCATAGTGTAAAATATTTATTTATTTATTTATTTAGGTTTTTACAAAGTCTAACAAAAGAATACCCCTCCAATGCTCATAGCACCCTTAATCTTAAAAAATGCACTATAAAACAAACAGACACATCAGTTACCCAAGATCAACTCAGATAACCTAATGACTCTATATATATATATATATATATATATATATATATATATATATATATATATATATTATAACAGAATCAAACCAACCCCAATACAATCCCTAGAGCACCAGCCCTGTCCAACACCCATCTCACAGACAAGAGAAGAAATGTGGGCCTTGCAGCATGTCCTGAATGCAGAAAAACTCTGGCTGTTGTGAACCTTAGGAGGAAGAATATTCCAAAGGTTTGGAGTGAATGGAGAATGCTCTGGAATCTGCCCTCTCGGTTATAGCCAAGGGGCTTCAGCTCAGGTGCCTCCGCTAACCAGAGTGTGGTACTACGTGCAATGTTCACAAATTTTGCTGAAGAAAGATATTTATTCAAATCCAAATCCAGCAGTTCAGTATCCTCATCACTTATGATAAGCTAATAGCGTTAGCATGAAGTGAGTGGTTTTAGTGAATAGCTGTAATACAGTGATGGAGGCGACCAGTACATGGTGCCATGATTTCCATGAGGATTGTGTATAGAGAAGGGAACTCTAGAAGAAATGGAGGGATAATCAGAAGGAAGCTACTGGAAGCATATATGGCTGCAATCTATCTGTGAAACCTGCTGCTGTAACAGAATTCTTCATCTCAATCCTTGTATTCTAGTGGAGTGCTGCAGGGTTAAGATATTCTTCTAACTTGGCCTGCTAAAAAGGCAGGATAAATAGAGACACAACAGAGATACAGTAGGCTCACCAAGTGTTTAGAAACTGCAGTCTGCCTCTTTGGCAGTGCCCAGAAAGTATCACAAGCCCTGGCATTCCTAATGGTTTTCATAGTCCCTTTTTATCACAGCTTAAGATCAAGGACTCTGTGACCAATGAACCTAACGCTTAATGCAACTAAATAGTAGTAAGGGAAAATAAATTGACTTAAGACTATATTAAAGAAGTCAATAGTTCAAGAGGCTGGAAGAACAGAGAAACCCATGGAAGCCAAATCCAGCAGGATAATAGCATCAGTCTAGAGGAATGTTTTCCAAGATGGGAATTTCACCCTGCAATAGTGGGTGGGCCACAAATGTTCTGTTATGCCCAGTAGTACAGTGAAATAGTGACATCTACAGCTGTCCTGTTGTCTGTGTCCTATAGTAATAATGAGAGTAGTTTCATGCCGTTTGTAACTATGGGGTTGGGTTTTTCCCCTCATGGATGCTCATCCAAAAATTTGCTGTACAAATGACTCAGTTTAAAAAATAAATTGTTAATAATATATGAGGGGGCTATCGTGGGAGCTCCTGTGAGAGTCATGTTGGTACCAGTGGGTGCAGGATGTTTGGGTATTTTGTTTCTAGGGGAAGGGCAGAGGCAGCATGAACCCAGAAGGCTCATAAGGATGAGTCCCAGGGGATACATGTGAAGGCTCTGTTCTCTTGACCCACAGAAATCAGTTGTTCTATTCCTGTCAGCTTGAACTAGCTAGCTGAAAAGTCTGTCTGCAGATTTCTTAGACTCCTGGCTTCTATGAGTAACCCCATTATGATGTAATAAAAGCAGCCAAAGCAATACAAAGCAAAGTGCTAGGGCATGTGTGCCAGTGATGTTTCCAGAGACAGACATGAGAAGATCCAAATGAATCATCAAATCTCAGCTTCCTAGAATAAAATAAAATATCAAAACCTCTGATTCTCCCTTAGTTGAAGCAGCGCCCTATCTAAGCTACTGAGATGCTGCCGAGGGACAGAAAGTATAATTTCTTCCTTTTCTTCTCCCTTTGCATGTACTGCAGTGTTGGAATTGAAATGATTGCCAGTTTTACCTCAGATAAATATTATTTTTATTATTATTATTTATTTGTATTACTGTAGTGCCTAGTTTTGGACCAGAACCCCATTGTGCTAGGTGCTGTACAAATACAGAACAAAAAATAAATATGATTACTTCACTATTGGCTCTATTGTCTTCTGCTTCTCTATATTTACTGAGAAAATACCTTTATTACTGCAAATTGTATCAAGTTACTTATGAAACAGGTTGTTGAACCTCTTGTGCTCACTGGTAGTTCTTCACACAAGTACTGTGATTTGAGTCAATGGGATTACTTGTGTTAGTAACCACTAACCAGTGTAAGTTTTCAAAGGTCTGACCCTGAACCAACTCCCCCCCCACCAAAAAAAAAAGTTACTTCCCCCTCCCCCTCCCGTAAGAATCAGAATAGTAGTGCCCTCTACTAAAGTCCTGTGAGAACAGAGGTAATAGAAGTCTGGGTGATATACTTTCATGACCCTGGCTTAGCTTGATGTGGGACACAGTAGAGCTGTACTACTGGATAATAATGTAATGCTAGGTCCTTTGATACTTCCTGTGCAGAATATTAATTGGGAATGAGAATTGTGTTGGAGGATAATGGTTGGCCTTACAAAGGATGAAACAAAGCTGCTGAAGAACTGTATGTATGGAAAGCCCTCTTCCAGAATATTCACCTACACTATAATGGGATTTTTTACTAAGTTGGTAACTAGGATGTAGCAAGGTTGATCCCACACATGCAACATGATAAACACATGATTCCTAACCATGTGGGTGTTCCTTATTGCAGCACTGAACTTGAATAGTGTTCTGCCTTAGTTCAAACATGAATAGGGGGGACTAACCCCGTGTCTGTTACCTGTTTAACCAGTACTGCTGTCTCCCACAGTCTTGATTATTCACTGCCTTGCATCTTGCGTAGTCACATACACCTGTGCAAAGTGGGTGTAAAATGCTTTCATTTTGATATTGGTAGTATTTCACACTCACTTTACACAGGCTGTACATGACTACACCACATGCAAGGCAATAAAGAATCAGGCCTCAAGTCTGTGCAGGAGGATATCTCAAAAGCGCAATGCACCATGTGAAAAACAACTTTAACCCCCGCCCCTGGCACCAGGAGCTAAGGCTATATAAAACAGCTGCCTGCATTTTCACAGAATGTACTGATGATGATTGATGATAGAATTTCTTCAACTATGAGAATTACTGGGTAAAATTCTATGGCCTGTGTGCTATGAAAGAGTCAGACAGCATGATCATAGTGTTCTTTTTGGCCTTAATAATATTGATCTGTTGATCTCAGGGTTGTGCAGTGTGGCAGATGAATACAAGCCAACCAAATTAATATACAGTTGTAGTGGGGAAAATGCTGTTATGTGATCCATGTTTTCTGTACTCTTGTCAAATGAGTCTGTCAGTCCCTGGTTACACTTAACATGGCTCTGTCTGTAGTGTAGACAGGGCTATAAAACATCTGTAAACATACCTGCCACTTCTCTGTGCTTTCACAGCTTCAGGCCTTCTCTCTGGCTTTTGGATGATGATTCATTTATTTCTCCATTGGCTTTTGGATGAGGTACCCATAGCTGGATTTTTTCCAACTCAGCCCAATACCCAGACAGAATTTTTGACCTACTTGCATTAATTAATCCTTCATTTTAGTCAAAATCTAGAGATAAAATTACTTCAGTATTTAGAAATGTGCATGAGGAAATTAAAACTCTAATGAAACATGCTCCTGGTAAAGTACCAGGGTCACACAGCCCGAATTGTAGCCAGATGTTCATTATCCAGCGGCGTGAATCATTTTTAAGATGCTACGGACCTTCTTCTGTGAGGAGCTGAGCACCCTCAATTCCCACTTAAATCAAGAAGGGGCCAGATGAAGAGCTCAGTTCCCATTTAGGCACTCAAATAAGGTCCAGGGTATCAAAACTTAAGCTCCTTTGAGAATCTGCTCACTTGTCTAAGTGCCTAATACGGAGCTGAACTCTTTTGAAAATCTTGCTCCAATTGTGGGTGCTGAGCCTTTCTGAAAACCTGGCCCTTAGAGTTGAGGGCAGTCAGCACATTACAGATAATCAGGCCCAAGGCATTGCAAATATGGACAGAACTCACTAAGGTAATTCATTCTGTGTTGCCATTGCTGCATGATTTTGGATGGATGTTTGTTTTAACAGAGCTGCGGCAAAGAATTGTTTATGTAGGCAGTCGTGTCTCTGCTCTCTCAGGTCCTGGGCAATTTGCCCATCATCTCTCAGCCATCATATATTTGGGTTAGCAGTCAGTTTACGAGTGACTGTTCCCATCTGTCTCCACAGTAAGTTATTAACATTTAATGGGCTAACTGGGTTGTGCTAAGAAACCTTTTCTTCATTCA